AAATAAAAAAAAAAAAAAAAAAGTTACATAGAAGGTTTTGGGTTATTGGTAACTAACATCTTTTTACATTTAAAATAATGGGAATTAGGATTATAAATAAATTTAGGGAACGATTAATGGATTCCTTTTCCTTGTAACTAAGAACAATTCCATAGATACTCACAGATCAATCAGTGATGGGGCATGGAGAGGTCATAACGGGATTCTAAGTTAAATTTGGATTTTAGAAGAGTGAATAATTTTATTTTCAGAGTAAGTCTTACCCCAATACTGCATGGAACATACTTGCACTAAAATGAAAATTATTCCTTTTTTACCTGAAATTCACATTTAACAGGGTGTCCTTTATTTTACCTGGCAATCCTTGATAATAAGAATAATTAATTAAGCACAATATTTTGATGAGTTTGTATAGTTAGGGTCTCCTCCCCACCATGTCTCTCAAAAAATAGCAGCAACATTTTCACTCAAGACAAATCCATATGTACTGCTCTCTAAAGTTGGGAGCTCTGATGCAAGAGACTAGCATGTTAGCAAAAGAGAAGTAAGACACTACCCCCAGGTAACTAGTAATATCAAAGAAGGTATGCGAGCCTCCAAGTCCAAAGGCAAGTTTCTTTACACACTCTGGCCATATAACAATCCATACTTTCTAATCAAATATAAAAAATACTACGAAGGATCATCAAATATAAGAAAAAGTCATTCCATGCAAAAGAGAAACAAAACTTATCAAAAATAAAACCAGTAGCTAAAAGTGAAAAGTTAATAGAGGAAACAATGGGAGACAGGAGATAATTGCAGGTGCAAAGCCTCTGAGTATGTGAGAGGGAATGGTATCCACTTGGCAATTACATGGGTAATGGGCACTCACATAGGAGCAGGTTCTGTTACTATAGTGTAACAGAAGGGAAGACAGACTATGTAAAGACAAGTGCAAGGGGCCAGTAGGAAAAAGAGGTAATTTCCATTTGATTGCATCTATGTTCTCTGTGAATGACACTGGAGGATTCTTAGCTTAAGATGAAGGAGACGTGGGTATTAGAACTGAAAGGCGAGAGAAGATGTGAAAGAGCTGTCAGAAAGAACTGGAGTGTCTAGAAATTTCTTGGCAGTGCTGCACATCACTTCAGATTTGTGGTCATAGAATTTAAGTTTTACTCAGAAGTAAATTTACTATGATGCTAATGAAGCTTAAACATAAGGCCTCAGCCCCTTGTAAGGTAGTTTGAGTGTTCCTAACAGTGTTTTCACATGGTCATATGTTTTTATAAAGTCTATAAAAGAAAGATATTTTAACCACAATTTGTTATGACCATTATTTCTTTCTAATATAATTCACTATCTGTCCAGTGGGGTTCAAATGGCTGTTGGCATTCTGTATTTATAATCCTACATTCTTTTTCACGGAGACACCACATTCTATGAGCTATAAGATACTCTACTCTTTTTCATAAAGAGATCCCACCAATCCAGGATCCACTCCGGGTGAGACTAATTAACACTAATTATTTGAGCCAGTGTTCAGCTGCTAGGATCTTGGTGTAGAATAACTAGCTGAAGAGTTTAGTTCAATGATAGGGCTTTTCAAGTCAGAGAAACAAGGTATTGAAAGTTATTTAAATCAGTGATTATTTTGAATGAATATAACTATGTTCTGTAAGAAAGGAAGAAAAGGCAAGAAAGTGGGATAGACAATTGTTGAAGTACAATAGATTGGTCATCTTAAAATGTCAAATAATTGTTAGAGTGAAGGTACTAGCAGAGTAATACGGAAGAGCGGTGCTAATTGTCAGAAGGTGAATGCTTAAAATTGAGATCAGGAGGTGACTCCATTATTGGAAATAACAAGATCTAGGGTAAAACTCTAGGAGAAGGTAACTGGGGTACAACAGGAAAAATATTGTTGGGAACATTGAGGTCTAAGAACTGAGAATCCCAGTTGTTGCACAGACTGAATACATATCCAATTCAAGTTTCGGTTGCCTCTGTAAAGGGAGAGGGAGACTCTGGGTGATGCGAATTGTTAACACTCTTAAGTTACTAACAGAAAGGTCAGTGGTTTGAATCCTCCCAGAGGTGCCTGAAGAAAGGCTTGGTGATCTACGTTCGAAAGCTCACAGCCATTGAAAACCCTATGTGCATTTCTACTCTGAAACATATGGTGTCACCATGAGTCGAAATCAACTCCATGACAACTGGTTTGGTAGAGGGAGAAAACAGGAATGGGGAGAGAGATTCTTTGCAATATTTTAATTCGCTAAAAAAGGTGTGAAGTGAGTATGAGTGAGCAGTTAATTTTGATTGATGCATAAACAGTTTTTCAATGTGTTGCTCTTTCAGTTTTTCTTTTTCAGTATTAGAAAAATTAAAAGCATAAAAGTAAAATGGTTTCAAAATATACATTCAACTTGCTGTGAAATGCTGAAAAAATAATATTTTATATTCCTATGAAATAGCTCAAATTAATAGGCTGGTAAGATATAGCTAAACAGGTATGAAAAACTCATTCTAAGTATTCCAGACTATTTCACAACCTCAATAATATTCTAATTTTTATCTGTACAAATAAATTATCATCTTGTTAACTCTTGACAAACACATTTCATAAAATATACCAATATATATTTGTGGTGTTCAATAGCTTTTTTGCTCATTTCCCTCGATTATACAACCTCATCTTTGGATCACTGAAGTTACAATGGCATTGTCTTGCTTGAGGTACACACTAGAGCATTAGAAGTAATATTCAGAA